AAAACATGAGATATTGTGGCATGTTATTTTCAGAAGGCGGGGATAATCCAGTATAGAGGGAGAAATTGGTGTCTAAGGAAAGAGGGAAGCAGAGAGTCAGTGGAGGGGTTGGTTCTGATAGGTGCACAAAACCTTCATTCACTGTAAGAGTGGGGAAGGCAGAGAACATGGGCACGGTGCAGAGTTGTTGGTAGGTGAGAGGGCTCCTGTCTGATTGGTTCTGTTATCTCTGACGTAAGAGGCAAGCTCATCTGCTCAGAGTGAAGACGAGAAAGACAAAGGAGGAAGAAGAGTGAAAAATCATCCTCGGGGAGCGTGAGGAATTGAATACAGCAGGGAGAGATAGCAGGATTGCAAGGCAGGAATGCTAGGCTCCTTCGAAATTTGTGGTCATCAATTTAAAGTGATTCTAGTCACTTTTAATTCCCAGCCATGTTTGTATATTCTGATTTAAGCATAGAGTAGGAGATTGGCTGGTCTTAACTATGTTAGGCAAGTTAGAAGGGATCAGGCAAAAGGGTAATGGGTTTTTGCAAGGAAGTGAGTATAATGATCATTACTAAGCTGGTAAGGAGGGAAGTGAACATGAGGGGGAAGATAAAGCTGAAAATCTGGCAGGTCAAGGGTTTGCAGGTCTTGATGAGGTTGAAAAAATGCCTGTGTGTGATATTGCAATAAGGAGGCTAAAGACAGATCTGAGATCTTTACAATTGTGCTTTCTGAGATAGTGCAATTATTGGTGAGAGTGAGTCCAGGGTAAGATCAATAGGGGAGGGTATCTGAAGACAGGAGAAGGGAAAACTCATTGGTAGGGAAGAAATGAATAAGGAAGAAATCAGTAAGATTTCAGATGGATTATGCTTATGGAGGCTGAAATCATAATGTAAAGTACAGGAGGTCAGATGGAAGTCAGTTCATGAGAACAAAAAGGAGGAGTGGCAGGTGGGAAAATATGATAGTGAGAACTGGAAGGGGATTGGGTCTTTGAAAGAGGAAGGGAGGAGAGACAATACTAAAACTATTTATGGTGCTTGCCTGCCTATCTACAGCCCCTTGTAGGCAGTCATGTTTAATGCCACAGGCCCTATGCTCAGAGCAATAGTTGATTGGTCAAGGGATGAGCTCTGACCTATAGGCAGCCAATCTGTGGACATGAGCTGTCAACACTAAGACTTAATTGAATTCTGTCTTGGGATCTGAATTATGAAAAAAAAAAAAGAATTTGCCAGTTAATATAGCCAGTTGATGCAGGGAATAAAAGAGGACAAAGGTCACCTGGATGGACCTCAAACAGGCTGACATGTCAAGGGAATAGGGTTGAAAGCTGAAGATGCCAGACAGTAAAGGAAGAATGTATCAGATGCATCCAAAGAAGCAGAAATGGGGAGTAGCCATGCTGGGTTAGTTCCTGAACCCTCTTATTATGAGGTAACAACTTTCAAAGGTTTTTGAGCAGAGAAGCAACATAATCAAATCTGGGGTGATGAGTGTAGGCTCTGATCCCAGACTGCCTGGCTTTGAAAACATTAGCTTTGTGATCTTGGGCAAGTTACGTAACCTTTCTGTACCTCAGTTCCCTCGTCTGTACAGTGGGAATTATAGCACTGCCCTCATAGGGCTGTAGTGAGGCTCACATGAGAAAATACACGTAATGCATTTTGAACAAGGCTTCCTTTTAATCTTATTTTCTTCAATTAGACAGTTCAAGTGTTGCTTCTTTCTCAAAACTTTCCCTCATGCCCTTATTTATCGCTTGGCTTCCAGGAGGGACACCCCTTTTCTTGGTCTTCCTTCTCAGTCACCTTGCGGTGCCTCTTTATCTTCTTGACCTCTTCTCTCTACATTCACCTCCTACCTGAGCTGACCTAGCTGTCTAATGCTCTTATGTACTTTAAACTATCATTTACTAGCTGATAGTTTTCATAAGTTTATCACCAACTCCAACTTCTTCCCCCAACTCCAGGCTCCCATGATTTCTTATTTGGCATCTCCATTTAAACTTCCAAAGGAAATTTCAAACATAACTTGCCCCAAACTGACTCTTATGCTACCCGCCCCCGCCCCCCACTCCCGAAAAAAAATCCGTTTCTCCTATAATTTTCCACAGATCAATAAATGGCAAATCCTTCCAATGTTGATCAAGCTAAGAATCTTAGTATCATTCTTGACTCCTTATTTTCATGCCCACCACCAATCCATCAGTAAAAATCCAGAATGTGATCTCTTCATGCCACCTCCATGTTACTGCCCTGATAAAAGCACCCTTGTCTCTCTGCTGTGTGACGCTGGGTTACCTCTTCGGATTTCCTTGATGAAAATTAAGTGAGTTATTATTTGTAAAGTGGTCAACAGTGTCTATCACACATAAGTGCTTTTTAAATAAATAAAACATGCCTTGCACACAGAACTAGTTTTCTAACAGCCCTAGTCCCCCTACAGTCCATTCAGAACACAGCAGCCTCCTGATCCTTTTAAAGCCAGGGCAGATAGTCCTGTTACTGCTCTGCACTTCTCGGAGTGGCTCCCACCACCCTCCCCTGGCTCAATCTAGGACAGCTACTTTGTCCCATGACCACACCAGGGACTGTCCCCATCGGGTGTTTGCCCTTGCTTGGGCCTCCTTCTGATTAAATATTACTAAGTTAGGCCTCCTCTGGCCTCATTTACTCACTCTGATTTTTCGCCACATCTCCAATCACCTGACACTCTTACCTATTTAGTAGTTGATTGTCTCCCCTGCAATGTTCAATCTCCAACAAGGACTGTCTTGTTCATTACTTTATTCCTAGAGCCTTGTGCTTGTATACAGTAGGTGCTCAATACTTACTAAGTGAAAAGAATCCCTTCTCTGAATTCCCATAACACACATGTGTGAGTCATTCTTGTGGGACTTATATCACCTTTTATGTTGGTGGCAGGTTGTACTCTACTCTGAGTTCTCTGGGTTAGCAGAGGGTGCTAGGACATGATAGTAATTCCTGTCATGTATGCAACACTACAATTTACAATCCCCTCGTAGGTGACCTGATGTGATTCTCACAAGAGAGTGAGCAAGCTAGAGAGGGTAGGGTTAGCCTTCCAGGTCTCCTGCCTTCTAGAACAAGCTCAACAAATATTTATTGAATGAAGAGGGGTAAAGAAAAAGAATATCCGAGTCATTCTGTGGAGGCAGCCCCACTGGACAAATGCGCTGGTTCTCTGTAGCACGTGTAAAAATACAACACCTAACAGTTATTGATCATTATTACCAGTTTTCTAATCATTATCTGTGTCGCCCTCACAGCTATCCTGTAGCTGGTAGCTAAAAGGACATTTTTATGTCTTGTTCACCTATTATCTTTTGGTGCCTCAAACAAGGCCTGGTATTAGTAAGTGCTCAAGGCTCTTTCTTTTTATTATTCAATTCTCACCTAAGGATATTTTTTCCATTGATTTCTAGAGAGTGGAAGGGAGGGAGGAGGCAGAGAGAGACACAGATTGGTTGCCTCCCCCACGCGCCCCTACTGGGGCTGGGGAACCTGCCCCCGAGACACATGCCCTTGACCGGGCATCGAACCCGTGACCCTTCGGTCCGACGTTCTAACCATTGAAACAAACTGGCCATGGCCCTAGGCTCTTTTTTTAAGGGATCGGGCTCAGGTGCAGCGACTTGCTCAGGTCCCACACGTAGCAGCAGCGGTTTTCCATTTCAGGTTCACGCACTACACACTCTCTGGGCTGGGCTGGGCTGGCGGATAGCACCAGTTCCGGGTTCGCCGCGGGAGTGAGCGCGTGTCCCGGGTGGGGTGGGGAGGGACTGACCCCTCCCAGGCCCAGTGCCTTCCGCATCCGCGCCCGGGAGGCCCGCGGGCACGGGTCCCCCGA